TTATCCCTTTTGTCGCGGCAGAAAAATTGTCACGTAAAAATTCGCTTATCGCCACGCTTCCGCGTTGGAGCAACAGCTTTTCGTTTCTGGTTATATGCTTAGCTCCCTGTGCAGGGGAAAGATCTACAGAAAAAAAGTGTAAAGGTTAATTTGCACTTTTTCATGTTCTTTTGAGGAACGACAGGTCATTCTTTGGGTTGCGCGGGGTGTGGGCCCAGTAAGCGTATGCGTAAGTACAAGGATGCATAATATATATATATATATGCAAATGTATATATGCAAATATATATATGCACATAGGTAGGTACTTGTATATTTTTATGGCCCCGCTTGGGCATACCCTTATATGTATATATGCGTTCCGTGAGTCCCCCATGTGCACCTTGCTGGGTTTCCGCGTCGCCAAAGCAGCCACGGTACAAAAATGGTGGCGCAGCGTTAACATAAAGAGAAATTCCCCTGTGTACCCCCTTCATGGAAGTTCCGCACAGGTTTAATACACTTGGGTCTTTATCAAAAGGGGGGGAAGAGGTGTATTGGGTATATCCCCTCAGGAGCTACAAATATGTAGCTGCACGTAAATGCGTATATGTATGTGTACTTTCCCCGCCTAAGCACATATATGTATATATAAAGGTGGGATACCACATAGATGAATCTTCCTCACCCCTTCGTGCATGCATATGTGATACTCGACAAATATGGTGGCCAGTAGAGAAGGTGTGAAGAGTCGCAACACCACAGGATCCTTCGTCACACTACCCCCTGCAAACACAAGCGCTTTGGAAGGTGCTTAAGAGGAAGCGAAAAGAGAAATCAAATTAAAGAGCATACTAAACAAAAATTGAAAAATAAAATAATATTAAAAAACATTTCAATTTAAGAAACATTTCGAATTAAAAAACATTTCAAGTTCAAATTTTTCGCAAGTCCTCGCCAAAGACGAAACAACTTTTTTTCAACTTTTTCGAAACTTATTTCACAAAATTAGCAAATTACAAGGAATTTTATCGAAAACGAAAAAGTGACACTTTTCACGCTACACCAGCACATAAAGCCGTTTAACCAACGTCCTTCCATTTCATCGTTTTTTTTTTTCTTGCTTTTTTCGCAATCTTATTTTCCCTCCCTTGTAAATATATACCCAATAGTCAGCTTCTCTTGGCCTATCACCCCTAAAGTATTCCCATATTAAAACGAACAAAAAAAAAACCGTTTCAATTTCGCTCCTTTCATTGAACAAAATGGTTGGTGAATCAGTAGATAAGAAATACCTAGAGGACAACCAATACTCTGATGAAGGTATTATCAAATCGTTCTATTGCGTGAACCGTATGCATATTCATGCGCACGCATAAGATTTCGAATTTAAGGACCATGTAAATATTAACTTTCCTTTCCCTTTTTTTTCTCCTTTCCTGACAAAATGTGTAGGATTAAAAGCCTATGAATTTATATTTGGAGAGTAAAAAAAAAGAAAAAAAAAAATGACATAAAGGATTATGATATGATAGCGTATAATGTGATAAGCCAGCTAGCCCACCTTAGCACGGCCTACGCGTCCCGTTATTTACCTCCCTCCAGTCCTGCATGTGGGCATGTCGCCATTTTTCTGTGTGTACACATGCGCATCGCGACTGTATCACCGTTTCACCTTCACAATTTGACGCTGGCATTTCCTCATCCACCCAACAGGGATTACATTTCCTCTGGAGGAATAGTTGCAACAACGAAATTCTTAAGCGACATATATTTGGAAGCAAATTCGAAAGTACTAGGTAAGGAAAGCCTTCGTGGCACATACGCGTCGGGGCGTTGAATGTGAGGTTGATTTTTTTTGTCCCATTTTTCGACAAATTTTTCCCAATTTTTGCCATTTTTTCCGTTTTTTCCCGCTTTTGGCGCATTGTCCTACCCACCTACAGACATCGGCTCCGGTCTGGGTGGCGGCTGCAAATACATAAATGAGAAGTACGGTGCACACATGCATGGAGTGGACATCTGCGAAAAGATTGTCACCATCGCTAAGCAACGAAACAAAGATAAAGCAAAGATCGAATTTGAAGCAATGGATATTGTAAAAAAAGACTTCCCAGAAGCCACTTTCGACATGATATACAGCAGAGACGCCATTTTGCATTTGCCCTATGCCGACAAAAAAATCTTATTTGAAAAATGTTACAAGTGGCTAAAGCCAAATGGAATTCTTCTAATAACCGACTACTGTGCTGCTAAGATGGAAAATTGGGACGAAGAATTCAAGGCCTACGTTAAGAACAGAAAGTATACCCTCCTGCCTATCGAAGATTACGGAGATCTGATTAAGTCCTGCAAGTTCCAAAATGTCGAGGCAAAGGATATAAGCGATTACTGGCAGGAGTTACTACAGTTGGAACTCAACAAATTGGAGGAAAAAAAAGACGAGTTCTTGAAGAAGTTCTCCATTAAGGAGTATAACTCTTTGAAGGATGGATGGACCAGAAAGATTAAGGACGCCAAGAGGGCTCTGCAGAAGTGGGGATACTTCAAGGCGCAGAAGATGATCTGATTTGCAGGCACGGGGTGAAAAAAAAAAAAAAAATAATATATATAGAAACCCGAATTGGGGAACCCCAAAACTTTGCAATTTTTCATAATGATCGAAACGGTCAGTGTATAGAAAGAAAAATAACTCAACCGGTTGATGAGGCGATTAACCAACCCATTAACCAACCCATGAATGAATCAATAAAACGGGAGATCACACCATGTAGGGAAGAAGAAACGAACCCCGTTCGGAGCCATATGCTGCTCGATGAAGGGGGAAGTCATTTCTCCACCTTTGGGATGGAAGTAGAGAAGAACAAAAAAGGAAAACCCGTTTTTCTCCACTTTGCTTTTTTCACTCCGTTCCATTCTTCCTGATTGTTTACACACACGCCTCTCATTTAACCACCTCGAAGGCGAAAATCTTAAAATGTGTCTGCGTGCAAATAAAGGCTCATACATATATGCAGAAACATAACGTGACCATTTTTATATGGGCCACTTCCCCCCCGCACGTGCGTTTTTGTGTGTAATGTCACAAGCAACACGCGCTGCGCGCGCGCTTTGTTTTATATATGTATATGTTTTTGTATGCACCATTATTGAGTGCACATTTTAGGCCTCACAAGATTACACAAACGATTGCAGACCCCTATAACAGACGGGACCATTGCGCGAGGTCTGTGACGAAATGTGTCATTGAGTATATAGAGAAAAAAAAAAAAGAAAAAAAAAAAAGTGTGCTTAATTACATATAAATGATTTTCCCTAGCGCTGAAAAATGCCAAGTGTAGCGCTGGGGCGAATTAAAAAAAAGAGAGGAAAAGAAAATCAGTTCAGCGGTTTATTTAACTGCGGACTGATTTTTATTATGTGGCTTAGTTATCGCAATTGGGCACCCAGTGGAAATCCCGTAGGAGCCAGTGCGAATTTAGTTCGAATCCGGCGCAGGTCCTGTGGGAATCTCGCTGATCTAACCCGCTTACCCAGTTGTTGCTTAACCCCTCTTGCGTGTTGTCGTGGCATCCTCACATTGTGCAGTTATGTTGTGTGTCCATTTGGCTGAGTTAAGTGGCCACACCCGTTTTGCGTAGCTGAGGAGGGGTATCTGTCTCCTCATCTTGCTCAATAAAATTGCATAGAATTATTTTCCCCTTTTATGTGGCGCCGCCACACTGTGCGCAGTTAAGCTACATAGTCAGTTTGTGCAGTTATGTTACATAACTTACCCAACCACTAACCTTTTACCACGCCGACGGCGCTTGAAAAAGGAAAGTTGCTGTCGCGGTAGAGCATATTAAGCAGGAACCAGAAAAGAAAAGAAAAAAAACGGTAAAGGATGATCGGATTGCACACTCGGTTTGAAATGCCCACAACGTGGTGCCAAACTGAATCATCAACTTCGTTCGCTAGTTAAACGAAGCCGTTCTAAAAAAAAATTATCGCAGAAGGGGAACCCCCTTCCGTGTGGTTGTGCGTGTGGGCTGTAAATATATATTGGGTTGATTCCAGCCGCGTGTCCCTCAGGTAGCTAACCTGTCTACATTGTTAAAGGAACGGCCAAAAAATGGATCAAATGGAACACTTCTTAGTTAGTATAACAATGGGGACTATGCTAGGTGCCATTATTAGCATCGACCAACAGCATTTTTCCTCTACCTCCTCCTTTTACTCCTTCTCCCAGCCCTGTCTATACGGACATAAAAATTATAAATAATTGAGGATTTTTTCTTGTTTAAAAGTTAGATTTAAAAAAAAAAAGATACACATGTATCGCGATATATATGTATGTATTTGTTCATTTTTTTGATATACATATATGCATACATGCATATAACTAAATTATGCTTTGGTGTTTTTTCAGACAGCGTATAAAGGAAAAAAACAAATTATGAAATTTTTTTTTTTTGAAAAAGTGGTGGCGATTTGCACATAAATAATGAAAAAAAAAAAAAAAGGGGGAAAGGTAACAAATGATTTTATATCCTAATTTACTGAAAGAAATGGCAAAAAAAAAAAAAAAACATATGTAATAATTCCAAACAGGGAGATTTATGTACGGTACACCGCAAAACGTCGGCATAAAAGCTTTTGGGGGAAAGGAAAACACATATATCATATGTCTGTTATAAATTATGACATACATGTTTGTAATTTAATTTTTTTAACCATTTATATATGCCCATATATAAATTGTTAACGTAAAAAAAAAGAGGGAGGCCAAGGGATGAGGGGCATACGGACATACACACATGTGTAGTGTATATTTGTGCATGCGCGTACGTGCGTGCGGGTCCGCCTCCCTGGCCCAAATTAACAGTAACACGTTTGGACTTGAATACAATTATTTAGCGATAAAATAAAAACAATTAATTGTTGCAAATCTGACTTGTGTTTGGGTGTACAAATATATTTTTTTTTTCTCCATTTGGAATAGCGCGCATGGTTCGCTTGGCTGTTTTCCCTTCTCCACGCTCGTTCTTTATCTTTTAGTCGGTCATTTCGTGGATCATTTCGTCGTTTATTGCGCCAATTAATGAGTCGCTTTTACCTCTATTTTTATGCCTCCACTTGGATCATTCCGTTGTGCGATTCCGTTTCGATGAAAAAAAAAAAAAAAATTCAAATGGTGCAGAACGGCGCTGCCAATACTGCATGGTTGACCTACTCCCACGATTGATTGACTCCCCGTCACGACATAGTAAAATGCGGGTGGTTCTTGGAAATATTTATGACGTTGCCGACGACCTTGTAGTCCAGTCGCTGGCCGAGGAAGTTCACTTCACTCTGCTTCTTGTTGGAGCATCTGGACGAGTCATCGTCGTCCACATATTCGGAAGACGTCAAGAAATCGTTCTCGGAGTTGTAATGCAGGTCGTTAAAATCGTCCGTCTTATTGGAAAAATTGATGGTCCTCTTAGTTTCGCTGTTATTTGATGAGGCATTTTCCTGCGACGAGTTTTCCTTTGTCGTGTTCGTAGTACTATTATCTTTTCTATTTTTATAATCATAGGATTTTTTCTTGGAGCTGAGGACTTTAACTGGGGTTTCAAATTCGTAATTATTAAAAAATTCACTCGTGCTTTCACTTCCATAACTTGGCTTTGTAAATTCTTTTAATTTTATAAGTGGAGAGGAGCTAATAAAATTCCCACAGATCATCCTATCATTGTAATTATTTTCTGTACAAATATTTTCCCTTTTCATTTTCTTAATGGACATACGTTTTTTTTCTTGCTTTAATTGTAACTTGGGTCTATCAGCCATTCTGCCTCCCACTGGAGTTTTATCCAAGGAAGAAAAATATTTTACGTTACTGTCATCGTATGATGGATATATACAGCTATCGTAATAATTCGGGTACTCCTCATTACACGAAGGGTTATTATTTTCAGGGTTTATTTCATTACTATAAAATAAACTGTAGGCTTTCCTTTTCTTTTTTTTTTGGGACATCTCCACAGAATGTTCAGTCATAATTGTGTTTATAAGGTTACTATTGAAATTATTAAAGTCAACGACCTTCACCAGTTCGTTCGGGTAACTCTGATCCTCTATGTCGTTCCAGTCTTTATAAAGCTCCGGGTTTTCCGATTGCTTAATCCAGGCCTTAATATAGTTGTCTTCTTTGAAATTTTCATTTTGAAAATTATTATTCATTTTATTCCCTTGTGAATTTATTCGTCTCCACGGGAAAGTGGGCACCAAAATGGGGGGAGGTGAGCGAGACCAACGAGCACCTTAATGTGCAAAGTGCGAGACAATCACGCGTAGTAACTTGAGAAGATAGTCAAGCAAAAAAGGGTACCAAGTTGAGACGCGTCCGACCGCCCGTAGTGACGTATGAAGCAAACCAAGCAGTAATCACAGAATGGTGCAGAAACTGATATATCTGCAGTGTGCGCGTGTCGATCAATTCACTTACACAAATGAAAAGTTACAGGCAGTTATAACCAACGAGTGCTGTCGCCACCGCTGATTTGTTTCTCTAGCGATAATGCATGTAAAGGTTATTTCCTCTATAAGTGCGTACGAAAACGGCATAGGAAGTGCGCGCAACCGTGTGTTGTCATCACACAGGAGAAAGAAATTCACGCAAATAG